CATTTTCGTCATTCTTCGCTGCACCGACTCTATCCATTCTATAATAAGGGCACCAGAACTGAACCGCATAATCGAGGTGCGGCCTGACTAGCGCAAGATACAGTTGCAATATGACCTCCGCACTCTTATTACTTACACTTCTAGATATATAACCCAATACTCTGTTTGCCTTATTTCAAACATTAACGCACTGTTTTCTAGGCCATAGGTCCGGGCTTACAAGTACCCCTAGGTCTCTTTCACAAGTCGACTTCTCTAGTTTGATGTTGTTAAGGCTGTATACATTGACAGTATTTATTCTTCCAATATTAAGTACGCTGCACTTGCTGGTGATGAATTTCATTTGCTATTTTTCAGACCACCCCTGCAGTTTATTTAGATCCTCCTGTAGGGCATTTGCATCTTGCCCTGAATTAATCTGCCGCCCTATTTTGGTGTCATCTGCAAACTTGCTTATGTCACTGCTGATCCCAGTATCTAGATCGTTTATGTACTGTAGATTATGAACAAGAGTGGGCCCAGTACTGACCCCTGGGGAACCCCACTGGTTACACAGCCCCACTCAGATTTAACACCATCTACGCTGACCCTCTGCGTTCTATCGGTGAGCCATGATTTTATCCAATTTAAAACTTTCCCCTCGATACCATGAGCCTTAACTTTTCTCAGAAGCCTCTGATGCGGTACTCTGTCAAATGCTTTGCTAAAGTCTAAGTAAATAACATAATAATTTTCGTCATTTTCTACTACCTCGAAGACTTTCCTAAAACACGTCAGCAGATTTGTTAGACATGATTTTCCCTTTGTAAAACCATGTTGAGCCGTAGATTAGTTTGCTTTTCTCTAAATGCGATCGGATGCTATCTGCTATAATTGATTCAAGAAATTTCCCCACTACTGACGTCAAACTGATCGGCTGGTAATTTGACGCTGATGCTCTGTCTCCCTTTTTGAATATGGGTACTACATTTGCCTGTTTCCACAAGTCTGGCACAACTCTCGTGTCTAATGATTTTGTAAATAAATTTACGAGGGGTCCGCTAATCAGCTCCCTACACTCTTTCAAGACTCGAGAGAAAATTTCATCCGGCTCTGGGAATTTTGTCTTCTTTAGTTTATTTATCCTCTTAAGAACATCCTCTTTTCTGATAGTGATATTCTTTAATTTCTCTTCTTCTTTTCCCCTAAATATCAGTTCCACCTCTGGAATTTCCTCACGAACTTCTTCTGTGAAAACTGATAAGAAGTATTTGTTCAATGCTTTGCTTATTTCTTCACTGCCATTTATCACTTCCCCCCTCCCTGACTTTAAAGGCCCAACTTTGTCCTTGACCATTGTTCTATATACCTGGAAACATTTCTTGGGATTCGCCTTGGATTCTCTTGCTATTCTGATTTCAGTCTCTCTTTGCTTTCCTTACATTTTTCTTAACATTCCTATATAGTTCATTATACCTATTTCTGAGCTGCTCTTCCCCTCCCTTTAATTTCTTATAAATTCCTTTCTTTATTCCTATGTCATGTTTAAGTTTTCTGGTCATCCACCTTGGCTCATTCTTATTTGACCTAATTTTTCTGTATGGTATATTTCGTTCTTGTGCTTTATGTAGTATACTAGTGAATATATTATAGTCATCATCAATTGTTGTGTCATCTATGACCTCACTCCTTCCTATTGAGGACTGACATGACTGTTCCCAGGTGACCTCACCTTGGTACCTTCTTAACCCGATAATCCGCCAACTGAAAGTTTGGGACTCTGACCATATTGTCATTGTTTTTCGTTTCCCAATTTAGGATGAACCTGATTTCTCTGTGATCACTGTTACCTAGTTCTTCCCCTACTGTGATATCTCTGATAAGATTTTCTTTATTTGTTAATCCGAGGTCTAATATAGTTACCTCTAGTAGGTTCTGTAATAAGTTGTTTCAAAAAAATTGTCCTGTACTGCATCTTGGAAGTCTTCAGATTCATAGTCACCTACAATGTTGTCCCAGTCAATATTTCTGAAGTTGAAATCCCCCATAATGCACAGGTTGTTATATTTTGCTGCCCTACTCATTTCCTGCCATATGGGCTGAGCTGCTTCTTTCCCAAGACTTGGGGCCTGTAAATCACTCCCATAATTAGTTTTTCTCTTCCTTCCGTGATTTCTACCCTTACAGACTCAGTTCCTATTTCACCCTTTATTGCATTATTAATATATTTTAATGTATCCTTGACGAAGAGTGCGACCCCTCCTCCCTTCCCTGTCCTTGTGAAAAAGGTTGTACCCTTCTATGTGGTACTCTGATAAAAAAAATTTGCTCGCCAGATTCATCCAAGTTCGGTGATTGCTATGACGTCTACATTCTGGGTACATAAACCGCTCTCAGCAAGTCTATTTTATTTCTAACGCTCCTACTGTTTGTATAGTATACATTTAAACCTACCCTTCCCTGGTCCTGTTTTATCCCTTGTCCTGAGTAACCAACTGTACTTCCCAGGACCTGCTTTTTTTTTTACTCCCACTTTCCCTGACCTCTCTCTACTGGCAAAACCCCCCCTTTGGAGTGACAATTTCACGCTCCAGGGATGCAGACGTCGTCTTTACCCAGCACGAGACAAGTGTACTCCGTCACGATCTGTACAGGTAGTCGTTGCCATAGAATCGTATTTCTTTGTGTATGAACCTCTGTCCTGCATGGCAGTGAGAAGTGATACCACCCTCAGTGTCAAGACCTGACTGAATTACTCACAATAGGCAAACTGTACTACAAGCTTTGTCAATAAATTTGTTAAACTAAAAAACTTATCTTTGAGAGCTCAGTCACTACTTAGTTTCGAAAGCAAAACTTAACAGAGTAATATTAGTTCGTAGCCTCATTTTCAAACAGCTGTGTTGAGTAACTTAGTCTGTCGAATTACTTTCTGTAAGTGATGTCATGGTAACTCACGGTTGGGAAACGCTGATTGGAAGAGTCGGAGGGCCCTGACCTCACTCCACCCACGATTTCCATCCTGCTTCCAATAACTTGCTTAGACATACACCATTGACTCTTCAGGCTTCTACGCCCTTAACTCATGAGACAAAGGCAAACATGAACTTAGCATGCTTCTCTGTTGGGCACTGTAAATGCTTCACCTTACACAAGGATGTAGGGGGGGGGGGCCCATCCCCCCCACCCAAAAAAAATCCTGCTTCGAGAGGTTTCTGTAGGCCAAGCTGGTCGCGTCAACCTGGAGACGATGACCACACTGGTATTTAGAGATGGGTGAACGTCAATAAGTTCGGATATCACCAACACGGTTATGTGGCGAGCCAGTTGGCTACTAAGGACATGCTCCATACACGTCCACCTGTGGTCTACCCGCAACGTAAACACCACCAGCTCAGTCAAATGTCACTATTGGTAGAATCCACTAGAGTAGTGCGTGGGTCGTAATTTCACCCATGTACTCTGGTATGTCATCGCCAATGGTACGAGTGTCTGAAGTCAAGTGTGAAGACAGCCCGTTTTCTTGGCTATGTACCAGAGTAGGTATTTATGTGGAATACCAGTGTTAAAAGTCCTGTTCTATCAACTACAGTAGAGCTATCTCTCAAGCTCTGTATTATTGTTGTTGGATCCCGTGTACTGTGTCTTCATAGTGTATGTTTTTCTACAGGTACACCAAGGACAAGCGATTGTGGAATATGCAAGGTATCTTGTTGACAAGTATCTGGGGATTGCCATGGAGTTGATTTTTGGCACTATTTTGTTACTTGAAGTAGTCAGAAGTCCATCTTTATTTTAATAAACCGTGCCCACCTTATTTCTCCCTATATCTTGGTACCATTATTACATTTACCCTCGAGTCATGCTACCACAGGTCAGATGTTAAGTCACTACTGTAGTTGTTTAAGTAGTGGGACAGAAAGTAAAGTATTATAGGAAGTAGATCCCCTATAATAGGTGACAGCCGTCACTTGCCCCTGCAGTTGAAGGTTTCAACATAACTCACAATGGATCTTGAATGTTTCAACTAGAGGCAGGTACAAGTTATACATAGGCATTCATTCATAATTTTAAATATAAACATGGGATTTTCTTGAACGGAGGCAGATGATAGAGAAAATGGACATCTGTTGAGTACTATTTATAGCTTCACATTTTATGGGCTCCGATTTTATGTTAACTAACATGTATTAATCAGTACATGACTTAATTTTACTTGTGCAATCTTAATTACTCCCTAAATGTGATAAGTTTTTCTGAAATGACCAAAAGGCATAGTGACAAGCAATTCCAAGTGTTATGGTTATTCGTGATGTACAGCAGCTAAAACAACTATCTGTGCATACTTTGTGAGAAACAATGACCATGGATAAATATTGGTATAGGAGAGCTGTCACTAGTCAAGTAAAATTTTGGAGCATATCAACCCCCCACCTGCACAGATAGTGGTTTTAGCTACGCTGCTATGCATTACATTTAATTTCTATTCAGTGTAAATACTATACTGTACTGTAGTTTCAGCAACCCCCCCCCCCCAGTTCCTTTATAGGTTAGATATTATTATTGCAAAATTAAACCAATACAATGCAGATCGTAATTAGCAAATTGAGAACTAATACAGTAAAGATAATCAACAGTTTTCATTTTCTTCAGTCCTGGAATTAATTAACCACTTCAGTGGAGGGGGGGGGGATTACATTAATTTAAAGTTGCAATGCAAATGGTTAATAGGTCATTACAAGTTACTGAAATTAGAACCCCAAGCCCATATTTTTAGCAGCCGAATACTGTACATGCACTGTACTACAAATTAGCCTAGTACAGAATCACCTACTATACTGTGACTACCTGTACAACCTAGCAGGTTTCCAAAAGGGCCTTCCCTTTTATTAAAATTCGATGCAACACAACTCCTTCACGGCTCAGGTATACTGTACATGGGTTGGTTCTTAACAATCAGGCCCATGGTTAAAAGGATTAATTACATCCAGTACAGGTTCCAAGCAGAAATCAATACAGCATTTCATCCTCTTTTTTTATTGCACAAATTACAGTAATCCACAACAATTTATGATATCAGCATGGTCCTCTAGCTTCACATCGTTCTGCACCACCATATCATCTTTCTACCTGGAGAGAAACAATAATTAAGACACTATACCAAATATAGCATTCTAGGTAAGCAGGTTTAACAACTTTCATGTCAAAGTCCCAGTAATACTCTCCAAAAAGTTAAAACACCCACCCCTCCATTTTTCATTCCTACACTCAAAAGATGGCTTGTATGCAAATGTAACCTAACCTATTCTCTGTGGAAAATCTCTCTCATACACCACAACAATTTCAAAATTACCTTAAAGCTTACCAACATGAAAAATGAAAATATAAAATAAAACTAAGAAGCTGGAAGTGTTCATTTTCAGATTTTGCACATATGCCTGTCAAATTTCAAGGTCAAGAAACTTCCCCACACTCTCACTGCTACATAACATTACTGTTGTGAATACCTGAAGCCTATAGAAGTTGCACCTGCCGACAGTTGAATTAGATCTCATTTGACACTACTCGTACAAGTACTCCTACATCCTTAAAATCACCACCACCCTACCGTAAACACAGATACAGGGTGTGTAACAATGATCTCAAGAGCATCTAACCTCGCCAAAAAGAGTTGGCTGTCGAGACAAATTTTCCAACAGGTCACAATACCCACTCACTGAATGTGCCTTTTTTGTCAATAGTACATAGTTTTAGTCCCCATATGACATAAGCGACCTGTGGTGTAATGGTCAGCATGCTCGCCTCACAAGCAAGCAGACCCAGGTTCGCTCCCCAGGCAGGGTAACACTATGGGCAAGTACCTTCATGCCATTTTCCTGTCTACCCAGCAGTAATTGGGAACCTGGATGTTGGATGTTTTGTGGGATCGTATATCCGCGGTAATGGTTAGCCAGTGCAGGTGGCGAGTTGTCCGGTCTTGGACTATTCCTTGACACTGGGTCATGCAACTCGTTAACTTTGGGCGTGGTTGTGTTGATTACAGCTTTTACACCTAGGTGGCCCTTGGGCCGGCCATCCTTGTTACACAAGGGGCAACCATTATCATGGCATAAGCCAACCCTTTGCAACCCTAAATTTAGTTTGCGTCACATGGATCATACTGCATTGTATGCCATAGAAAACACTAAAATAGATCCAATCTATATATCCCAAGCCAAGATATGTACAATGAAAGACAAAAGTCGTGTCGTGAAATTTGGTGAAAACGCCCCGAAAGGCTTAAACTTTTGTTGGGTTCTGCCTTGTGTTAGGGCTCTCAATGTTTTAAGAGTTATATTTAATCTTCGGACAAAACCTCGACACGACTTTTGTCTGATTGTACACTTGCCACAATAAGTTCTCGAGCAACCGGGCAAGACAGATCTCATAATGAGCACCATGGCTCGTAATCTCAGAATGGTTGGTATGCCTGATTGCAAAGTGACCCGAAATTTCATAATGTGCTCATTTTTACAGGCACCCCCAGCGTTACGGAAGGGTTCCGTTCCCGGAAAATTGACCGTATCGCGAAATTCCGTAATGCGAACCCTATTTTCCCATTGACTTCCATTATAAAACTGGAGATGCGTTCCTAAGGAATTTTTTCGGCCCCAAAAAAGTAATTCAAGCACTTATTAATGAAAATAAACATTTATAAACACATACAATACAGTACATTAAATAATTTATGATATACCTTCTTAAAACACCAATTTAGGGGTTAATATTGCATATTATTGCATTATACAGCTATGTGTATGTTTATTTGAGTGCCCCGTCATAGGAGTCCGTTTTCTCACTTCAGCACTCCCGAGTCATCCGTTTTCTCTTAATCTTAACAGTGCACCAGACTATTATTTTTTAGTAGTGACACAGAATTTGATATTACAACTGGGGTAGCAATTGTTGAGGCAACTTAGGTACTGTATGTCTGATTACAGTTGGAATATTCAAGATCCATTGTGAGTGATGTTTAAAGCTTCAATTGTCTTTATGGTTGGTAAAACTTGTCAAGTCTGTCAGTCTGAATGGCATGGGTGTGGCCTTGTGTGTTAAAATTTACCCCAATTTCCGTAAGGGCGGACTTACGAGCCGTAACGCGAAATTATTGGTCATAATTTACAAATTCCGTAAGAGCGAAATTCCATAACCCGGGCGATGCCTGTATTTACAGGTGAAAAGTATTAATTTGCAATACAACTTCCAGAGAGCAACAACCAGATTTCACGTTCATTTTGTCTTATTGCATGACCCTTGTAGCTTTCGAGATCTTTGTGGGGCATGTACAAACCAATATTTATTGAACCTTCACAACATACATAAGATATTTACATGCAATTGAAATCTAGTGTGTGTAACCTTTATAAACAGTTTTAATCTCCTCTTCCAAAACATACTGTACATAAAATTTGCGAGTCTTGCAAGTGCAACTCATTTGGTGACAACAGTGTGCACTTACATTTGTTGTCAGAATGTTTCATGTGCTAATCTTTTAAGTAAGAAAGCTCATAGCAACTTTCTATTTAATCTCTGCACTTAGAACGCCAGCATGCTATGAAAAGCAACCTGGAGCTGGTATGCAGTCAATAAATTTCAAACCCATTCACCCCCCACCAAATTTTAAACCAATCCAATTTACTGCCCAAGTCACCTGCTGTAGCCACTCGCCTAACATGTTTCTAAATAAATTCCACATTAAACTACCCTCTTAGAACACTTGTGACCTCATCAGTAACTCTTGGAGCTGTCCTGCACTCCCATCTTACACTCGCCCCACCAACATCAACACATTAATGGCCACCACATTACAACCAACCCACCATCTACATGTGATATTACATGACCCTGCACTGTACCGTCAAGGGGTCATTTGTGGAAAATTAACAGTTAATTATCACAACTATAGTGGCAGACTACCATAATATTGCAAGTGTTTGTGGTATTCATAAACTAACAAATAGATCACACTACAGTAAACTTCCTACCTCAAATGTAAAAACACTAGAAATTGTTTTTGTAAAATATGAATCCATCTAGAAAATTTTAAAATGGACAAATGGAAGAGAATACATTACAGGGTACTCAAATGTTGACAGAGCAAAAAGGATACATTACATTTGACTTTGATCTTTGTTGCAGTTTCCTGCACATTTTCTAGTGATAAAATGCATTTGTGTGACGCTTTAATCAAAATATATCTACAATACTTCCGACCAAGTTTATATTGTACTGTATACTAATTGAACATACCTGCGAGTCATGTGGGGGGCTACTTAGACCTTTGTACCTCCACTTTCCTGAAAAGAAACATTTCCATTACTGAAAGAACCATACCAAGGTCAAACCAATACCCCTTTCAACAACTTGTGTATCAGTTAAAATCTTACATCAATGAAGTCAGTGTCTAACATGTATAAAACATCATGTACACATTCATGTCTGGCTGCTAACCATCAAACTGCAGCAATACTTACTAAATACATGCAACTATGTAGACCTCTCCCGATTTAATTCATTTTAACATATATATTTGTTCAGTAATCGTCACCACACTCTGGGAGCCTGAAAAACAAAAACTTACAATTAGGCAAGATCATTTAATCACATAAGCAGCAGCATAACACAAACATGTAGTGTCAGGAAGTTTCGTGTGCTAAACTTAAAAGTAAGAAAGCACATAGTGACTTTCTTTTTAATCTCTGCACTTGGAACGCCAACTTGCTATGAAAATGCAACCTGGAGCTAGTATGCATGTCCTCTAGTGAACAGTATGTACATTTTACCCCTTTCATGTAAAATAATTAAAACTACCAATTCATGACCCTGCCAAAGCCACCTGCAGTAGCTCTACCCTGTCACATTCAGGAATTCCTGCTGACCTGTTCAATAATTTGACTTCTATCAGGAATTGACTTACATTTTATACCTTTCCATCATACAAAACCTTTGCAAATTCACATTGAAAAATTCAGTCTATGGTAATAGTAAAAAATTCTTAAAATCTACTGCAATACATTTAATTTGTACACTAACTTTTAGTACTGTACTCGGACTAAATATCCAACCAATGGTAGAAACACTTACCAAAATCACTGAAGAATGTAGTCGCTTCTTATTTCATTTACTGTACAGATTAATTCAGTTATGATCACCATACTTTAGGAGCCTGAAAGATAAAAACTTTATATTAGATCAAGTTCACCTCAACTTATACAAAACATAACACATACAGTGGTCCCTCGGTTAACGAGTTACCTTCCATAAGATTCTTAACTTCGGTTAACGAGCAATCCCTCAATTAACGAGTTTCTTACGAGCCGACCTCAACATGTTTTCGCTTGCATTTGGCAGTCCAACAGCTGTAGTATTAGTCCGCCAATACAGTAATTGGTTCTAGGGATTATATTCCTTACCATTTCAGTAAATATCAAGAAGTTAATACTATTCAATAATTTTAAGTTTAATATTAAATTTTTTAGTCATTTTAACAATTATTGAACATAATTGAAGGTAAGGTAACTAGTTTTATGCGCGCCATCCAGCCTGTTAACACAGCAAACAGGAGCCAGTCTTTCTGTCTTTTCAGTGGAGTTAACATCTTGCTTGACTTCAATTAAATGCTTTTTTCTGTTTGCAAGCAAATTATTGGTCATTTTTAAATTTATTTTACATATTGACAATATATAATGCAGTGCAGTGTTGACTTAAAAGAAAATAACCTTGAATTACACCAAGTGAACTAAAATTTTATGGGCGAAATGGCGCCATGAGGTGACTTCTCTTCCACTCCCTTTCGAATTCTCATCATCATCCAAGAGCCTTCTACATACACACCTCAAAGTAAGTGTACTTTTCTACCTTTTATGTTGAATTTAGGCAATTTTCAGTGCGCTGGAACCAATTGCCCAAAAACCCATTGAAACAATGGTTTCGGTTAACGAGCAACCTTCTAGAACGGATTGTACTCGTTAACCGAGGGACCACTATACATGTAATGTCAGGAAGTTTCGTGTGCTAAGCTTAGAAGTAAGAAAGCACATAGCGACTTCCTTTTTAATCTCTGCACTTGGAACGCCAACTTGCTATGAAAATGCAACCTGGAGCTAGTATGCAGTTGTTTAAGTGACCACTTAAGCCACTTTCCTTTCTTGCAAACAATTTTAAAGTAAAAATTTTATCCTGTATCAAATTAATAGCTCTAATCAGACATTGAATAAGTCCAGTTATACCCACATAATTCTGGTCCCCAATGTTATGTAATCAGAAGCTCAACTCTGAGAACTATCCTACACTCCCAACCTTGGACTTGAAACCCACCACTCACTCATAATACAAAACACCTAATCACCACCACCATACCACCTCAAGGGCATTACAAAAATGAACCACCCAACTTTATGATGAAATATCCCTAGTGAAATTTTTCTAACAGGTGTGTCAACAGTATTTGTAGAATCTAGTCATGAAATGCAACTACAGTACCAGTACTTTCTATACCAACCACTGAACTGAAGTATATTACCAGTACTGTATATCAGGGTGTACTAACTGTGTTCATAACTAAACCTTGGCTGTTTTCCAGGCTTCATTCAGGTGTCTTAAAAGCTTTATGAACTTTACCCAGTGATAATATAGTAAAGTTTCATTAAAATATCTACGTACAAGAATTGTACCAGACAAGCAGCTTCGGCATCAACTCGTACATTAAATTTTTTTTAATGGGCCCAAATATTCTGGGATACAATACCTGCAACAACTTCCAGGCTGCATATGACCTCAGCACCTCCACTATAGCAACTGAAAAAGAGATATTTACATTAGAACAACCTAGGCAACACAGATACCTTTAGTTCAAAACTTCAAATATCAGTTTAAATTCCACATCAATGCAATCAGTGTCTAACATGTGTAAACCATCATTGAAGTATTTATGCCTTACTGTAAACATCCACTCAACTCCTGGAATGCTGTACTTACCAAATCCACTTTATCATGTAGACCTCTTGAATTCATGGTTTTAATCCATTTGTTCAGTAAAGCACCCAACACTTTGGGAGCCTGAAAAAAAAAACTTTCAATTAGACAAGTTCACTTCACCAAACAGGAACCATCACACATACATGTAATGTCAGGAAGTTTCGTGTGCTAAGCTTAAAAGTAAGAAAGCACATAGCGACTTCCTTTTTAATCTCTGCACTTGGAACGCCAACTTGCTATGAAAATGCAACCTGGAGCTAGTATGCATGTCCTCTAGTGAACAGTATATCCATTTTACCCCTTTCATGTAAAATAATTTAAACTACCAATTCATGACCCTGCCAAAGCCACCTACAGTAGCTCTACCCTGTCACATTCAGGAATTCCTGCTGACCTGTTCAATAATTTGACTTCTAGCTCTACCCTGTCACATTCAGGAATTCCTGCTGACCTGTTCAATAATTTGACTTCTAGCTCTACCCTGTCACATTCAGGAATTCCTGCTGACCTGTTCAATAATTTGACTTCTAGCTCTACCCTGTCACATTCAGGAGTTCCTGCTGACCTGTTCAATAATTTGACTTCTATCAGGAATTGACCTACATTTGCAATACCCCTCTTCATACATTTTATACCTTTTCCATCATACAAAACCTTTGGAAATTAACATTGAAGAACTCGGTCTATGGTAATAGTAAAAAATTCTTAAAATCTACTGCAATACATTTAATTTGTACACTAACTTTTAGTCCTGTACTTGGACTAAATATCCAACCAATGGTAGAAACCCTTACCAAAATCACTGAAGAATGTAGTCGCTTCTTATTTCATTTACTGTACAGATTAATTCAGTTATGATCACCATACTTTAGGAGCCTGAAAGATAAAAACTTTATATTAGATCAAGTTCACCTCAACTTATACAAAAAGTAACACATACATGTAATGTCAGGAAGTTTCGTGTGCTAAGCTTAGAAGTAAGAAAGCACATAGCGACTTCCTTTATAATCTCTGCACTTGGAACGCCAACTTGCTATGAAAAAGCAACCTGGAGCTAGTATGCAGTTGTGTAGGTGACCACTTAAACCACTTCAACTCATGCAAATTTTAAAAATAACAAAGATGCCACTAAAATCTGGAGCTTCTCGCCTAAAATGTTACAAAATAAACTACTGTACACTGTATATTAAAGCAATATTCATAGTTTTGTTCCAGAGATGGTTAGCAGACACCCAACCATAATTTTATGTTTTAATTAAACAAAAATTATAACGTACCTGCAAATCCATAGCATAGGCTGCCTTTAACTCTGCCTCCACCAATCCTGAAAGGAGATACTTTATTCAATCTAAATATCTTGGTAATAACACCTACATTTTGTCTTGCTAATCAGTTAAAATTCTTAATCAATGCAATCAGAAGTCTAACATGTGTTAAACATCATTTTAGTAGTCATGTCTAACATTCATCCAACTGTAGCATTACTTACCAACATCACTGAGGTGTCCACTTCTGGCTAACCAATATATTTTCATTCAGTTCACAAACCCTGAAAAAAATAAACATACCTTAAATAAGTTAATTTATCATAAAAGAAGCTTAACCTTAACACGATGTAATTTCATACAAACTTCCTTTGACATCCTTAAAAGTCATGTCATACAAGATTTTAAAGACATTCTTAATTGGTTAACTGTGGGAATAACCAATACACCCAAATTTTAAAATCTATGAGTTAAGTACTGTATTGAGAGTATCCAGAGACCATTGCTGCAATATAGAAGGAAGTGGACTGGTATTGTAAATTCCTATATAATAACGTTGAATAATTTTCCCATTCCATATACAGAACTGTAACTTCCAATGTTTAGGAAAATTCTTCAGTATTAATGTTTGGAAAAAAAAAATTATATAATTGTTAGATGGAAACTATAGCCGACAATTCCAGAATGCTTAAAATACGATCCTCTTCATTATACTCTACTACCCCCCCACCCCCCCCAAACAGTGATGTACCTGTATTTACAGTATTGTACTGTATATATGAACTGGTAGATTTACACAGGCAATTATAAAAGCTTTCTACTTTCAGAGCATATTTGTAGCCTCGGCATGAAGCTGACCTAAGCAGAAGACTTAGTCAGTGATTAACCAGGCAATTATCTACCAAACCTGATTAGACAGACAGAAATAGTCCTACTATCATGCCCAGATTTGGCCCAAATGGTTTATCACAATGCATCATTTCACTAAATTATCAATTATTAGAATGTGTTGTATAGTTCTACATATTTCAAAAGTTTGACTATACTAGCAGACTAAACTAAAATTTACACCAAAATTATTAAGATACAAACCTGTTCGTCCCACTTCATAGGCCTTATTACAATTGTCAACCCAGAAGTCAGTGATGTGCATCTCCTCAATCTTCATAATTCTGCACTGCATCTGCAAGTTATTATTGGAGTTTATATTAAAGTATTACCCATACCCCTTTATGTTAATAGAAATATTTTATACTATAGAAGATAAAATGTAGGCAAGTATTCTCTAACACAGTAGAAACAGTTTTCAATATAACAAATTTAACTGTCTCCATTGCTCCTGACAATGCCCTATAACAGGACATGCCTGACTTAGCGAGGATTATTTTCTTACACCTCAATGATGACCTTGTTGCCATGAAGAATCACAAGGACAGTACAGGGTGTTCAAAACAAGCTTATTAAAGGCTACCTCAAGATTTTACTTAATAAAAGACTACATTACTTTACATTATCTACTTCATAAATCACTATATTAATGTGCATGTATTCTAAGTGATTATAATCTTGAAATTAAGGGATTGCTATGTAATTTTCAAGTTGAAAGTGCAAAAATGAACACCAAAATCTATAGCTATATTTTTTAGTCCATTACCATTCAATAGGGACAGTACTGTATATGTAAGGAGCCTCAATACCTATGAATACCCAAATAAAAAAATACAGTATACATGGTGCACTGTTTACAAGCACAGGAATACTGAAAAAATGTTCCAACGAATAGGGTTGAGACTAGCCCAATTGCATGTATACACCTTGAAACACTAGATAATTCAGCATTTTCTATAATAATCCCAGTTATCAAGAAAGCCAATCTTTGTTGTATAATCCTTCTTTTCATGATCATTCATGCCACCAAATATGTGAAATTAGAAAATTGACTTACTTGTTAATGCAGGTGAATTATCCAAGATGTGTAAACTCCACATCCTAAGTGCTCGAGTCATCTGCGGCCCTTAGTCCTTGCAATAACCTGAAAGGACAGAAATAGTCAAGCAAGGTTTCTAAACCCTAGAATGCAATCTCAATATTATCAGTACAGTACATTATATATACGTAAAAAAAATTGATAAAAATGTATATAAAATACTACATTTTGCTGCCTACACAAATCCAGCGTGCCAAGAGAATATCTAAAGAAATGCACCCAAGCTTCTTGCCTATCACAATTCTAATCACTGCACCAAACTAGGTAGGAAGAGGTGCATCACAAGTGAAATGGCACCAAATTTTCATACAAAACTTGTGCAGTCTTCTTCTGTTATTTCATTCTCCTCAGTGTTCCTAATCTACAGCTTGTGACACAGCAAGTTGCTCATTCGCCACAAAAATGTGAACAGCTGGGCACTATAGTTCAGAATGATGATCACATTAGTTCGTGTCATTTCAGAATGCATGGTATGCATGGTTTTGAAGTGACCCAAAATTTAATATATGTTGCTCGCAATAAAACTTCTGTGCAACGTTCAGATTTCTCATTCGTTTCGCCACTGTATGACCCTTAGAGCATTTGAGAACTTTGTAGCGAGTGTATGCTTGAAAAAAAAAAATTATCTTGGGAGGGGTTCAACGAATTTGGAACTGAACAATTCTGTTTTCTTGCTAGGGATGATAAGCGTGATTGTGAGACATTTCCTACTTATTATACAAAATTTGTTCGTTGCATTATGAAAGGTGAATAACTGTACGCCTTATGAGCCTTTAAATAAAAAACCTTCATTCGTGGCGTCATTTTGTTTCGCAGAAGAAATGTAATGATACTTCAGTGTTAAAGTTTGGGGTCAAGTCTTGAACACTACAGTATCTGACATGTAAGTACCCGAAGATCTTGGGTATTAAGGAGAGTTTTATCCCATTTTGTGGTTCAGGCATAATGTGATAAGTAGTGTTTTTAGTAAATCCCAATCATATATGTATAACTCAGCAATGATGCTAAGTGTTCAAGACCTTTGACCCCAGCTGTACATTAAGCTCTTTTATGGTGAATATTTAACATCTTTTAAACCTAATTAGAATTTTATCCTCTTGGGACATGTTTAACAAGATACAGTAGTGTACTCCCAAAAAAGCCACCTTTCAGAAACCAGTGAATTGTATCATATAGACAAGTAAACATTTTCATCCTCAAGACATTTCATGAGCTCTTTTTTCAAGAAATCCAAACTAGCTAATATTAAATAGGGAAATTTGTTTTCAATTTGAAAATTCTGACCTTTAAATTCAATAAAATTCTTCTTGGGAATCGCCTGAAGATTTACTGTGTGTGTGTGCGCCTATAAAGGTTGTTTCCTTGTTCCTCATGCAACAAGATTAAAATTGACATTCTGGTGGATGCCTCTTAAGAAAAATGCTGCGACTGTAGGGAAAATCAACGTATTCACAGACTGCTTTCACTTATCTTCAGTTAACCCCTCCACCCCGGGTGACGTTCCAGAACACACGCCACTGTTTAAATGCCCAGTGGGTTACCAGGTTCCAGTGTGACTATTTGCCTGTCATGCCACACGCTCGGCCACAGGGAAGCTTCCTGAACATAATTACTGTACCTACTTTTGTTTGTTTCATTTCCATTGTTTGTCCATTTTATCATGTTGTATCAAAGTAATATTGCTAAAAGCAGTGTAGTTGTATAGTAGTGTAGTATTACTGGAAAATAATGCTATGATTATGTTATGAATGTATTTATTTGTAGAATTATTATTACTTTAAGCATTACTTGCTCTACCAAACACAAAGACAGCCTGGCGCCCGACTGCGTGTTGCCGAGCACTTTTTTACGAAAAATAATGCAAATAAAATATTCTAAGTGAATTATTTATATGAAACAAGTATTATGATCAGGAAATATATGCATTACTGGCCATCCCGGACACAAAGGCAAGCAAATAATGACCACTAAGTGCGTAGTGACCACGAGCGTCGGGTGTCAAAACAACACTGTCCATTTATCTCCCGCGCCACTGTGGCCACAGGGAAGTTTATAGAGGGTCACATAGTTTTCTTATGTCCTTTTGATCGTTTTATCATTTAAAAAGGTTAAAGATTATGTGTGGAAAAGTTTTGATTTTTCTCCCTTTACCCTCACATGGGGGCACGGACAGGGCACCCTTGCTCGGGGGTTAAACACCAAGACATTAACATATTACTTTAAATATTATGATGAGGGATTTGTTTCATAAATGGGAACCAATTGTCAACTGAATATATCATAAAGTGGACGTGACAATAAATTTGTTTCACTGTGTGCTAATACAATATTACCATTACTTTTGGATTAGACTAGACAATTTTTGGTGGGTTGGCCCACAGAAAAATGCCCCAATCTTAATGCAGCCCATGACTAGGGAAAGGCTGACCATGCCTGATGTGTGTGACAAAGGGTACCAGTATACTGTCTCGATATAAACCATTTACAGTATTACATTCTTTTTATAGCCTCGGCATGAAGCTGTTCTAAGCAGATAACTTAGTCAGTGATTAACCAGGCCATTTTATCTCCCAAAACTGATTAGGCAGACAGGAATAATCCTGCTACCATGCCCAGATTTGGCAATTAATTTATTATTAATTTAATTAAACTTAGATTTCTTCTAATCATCCCTTCATCAACATTACATTTACTCATTCTGCACACAGTAGCCCAATCATGTTTTTTCATTAAAAACCCAGCAAGTGGTTACCAAGCAATTGCCCGCCATGGATTACGAATTTAAAAAAAATAAAGTTGCCCTCCATGGATTACCAATTTAAAAAAAAAATATGTTAAGATAATGGTTTGCATAAAATCCACATATTGCTTTATTCACACTTACCTTCAATAAGCAGATGAATTTTCATGTCGATTCATGCACTGATTACACATCTGACCTCGATAACATTTCAGGACAAGGAAGATTTTGCAATTTTTTCTTTACACCATAAATACAACTCTCAGGAATCGTTGATGCATATTTTCCAATATCGATCCATTTGACTGGTACTACTGGAAGGGAGGCTATGGAAATAACTCGTCTCCAACCATGATTGTTATGCCAGTAGCTCAAGAGATATGGCCAGTCTCTCTCCCCTGGCAATTCAGCCCACACTTCATTATGTTGGACATGGTTGATAGTTCAAGCACAATACTGATCACAATCTGGAAAAAATAAAATTTGATAAATTTAGCTACCAAATATATCAATCTGACAGCTAGGCAAGACAATTTTTGGTGGGTTAGCCAACAGAAAAATGCCCCAATCTTAATGCAGCCCATGACTAGGGAAAGGCTGACCATGCCTGATGTATGTGACAAAGGGTACCAGTATACTATGTCTCGATGTAAACCATTTACAGTATTACATTCTTTTTATAGCCTCGGCATGAAGCTGTTCTAAGCAGATAACTTAGTCAGTGATTAACCAGGCCATTTTATCTCCCAAAACTGATTAGGCAGACAGGAATAATCCTGCTACCATGCCCAGATTTGGCAATTAATTTATTATTAATTTAATTAAACCTAGATTTCTTCTAATCATCCCTTCATCAACATTACATTTACTCATTCTGTACACAGTAGCCCAATCATGTTTTTTCATTAAAAACCCAGCAAGTGGTTACCAAGCAATTGCCCGCCATGGATTACGAATTTAAAAAAAAATAAAGTTGCCCTCCATGGATTACCAATTTAAAAAAAAAATATGTTAAGATAATGGTTTGCATAAAATCCACATATTGCTTTATTCACACTTACCTTCAATAAGCAGATGAATTTTCATGTCGATTCATGCACTGATTACACATCTGACCTCGATAACATTTCAGGACAAGGAAGATTTTGCAATTTTTTCTTTACACCATAAATACAACTCTCAGGAATCGTTGATGCATATTTTCCAATATCGATCCATTTGACTGGTACTACTGGAAGGGAGGCTATGGAAATAACTCGTCTCCAACCATGATTGTTATGCCAGTTGCTCAAGAGATATGTCCAGTCTCTCTCCCCTGGCAATTCAGCCCACACTTCATTATGTCGGACATTGTTGATAGTTCAAGCACAATACTGATCACAATCTGGAAAAAAAATAAACATTGAAAAATTTAGCTACCAAATATATCAATCTGAAAACTTTGGTACAAATGGATAATACGACAATCTACTACAGTTTGTCAAGTCTTGAACATTACCTGGATCCACCAATTACAGTATTGCCTGGGGTTTACGATAAACTACCTAGGATTTTTCCAAGATTACCCTGCTTGGCAGTGTCACTAACGTAGAAAGAAAGAAAGAACCAACTTAGGCCTACATTATTCAAATCGAATTGTCAGACCAGGCTTGGTTAAATTGTATTCCTTATAATAGTAAAATTTTATTCCCTGCTATCCTAAATAGATTTATGCCTCTAAACAAACAAAGGTTACAACTAACCTTGAGTGCCAAACATTTGTTTACAGTTCATCTAGAGTATTTCTCCTGTACACATCCAGAAGTACAGAGTACAGTATAGGAATTAATCAAAGATAAGAAATAAGGTCTGAAGTGGCCATTGCTGTAATTAAAATCTCCCATCCCATCACTAAACTTCCATGTCTTTTCTGATTTTAGTACAGTACTGTACTCCAAATTCAGGTCAACAACATGGTACAGTGTAGCACCTAGTTTTTATATTATTCATTACATATACTGTATTGTAAATAGACAAATAAATAAAATTTATATATATATATATATATATATATATATATATATATATATATATATATATATATATATATATATATATATATGCTGATAACCACAAGGAAAAAGAAAACACTAAGTTCCCAAGTGCTATAATATATACCAATATGCATGCTGGGAATTTTGCAAAACATAACATGTACACAGTAATACATTTGCCAACCTCACCCCTTAGTAGAGCCAATGAAAAATTCTCAATCACACTTGTGAGGAAACCTAGCAATATGGATTCATGTAAATGTTAATCAAGACCTAGCTACTATGACTACTGCAATCATACATTTATACCCAAAATTAATGTGAACAAAACCTGAAGTAACCCCAATAAAATTCATGTAGCCAGATTTGTAACTGAAAAGAGATGTTAATTACCCCAATCAGCTAGTGGACTGGACAAATTATCTGCCAAATCTGATTCGACAGTCAGGATATCCCTACTATCTTGCCCAGGTTTGGCTTTGTTTATTCCAGAAAATTTCAAGATAAATGCACAAAGGCAGAACATACCTTAATGCACAAAGGCATAACATACCATACAAAAAATTCAGATCAAACAACAATGACCCTAAATGGATAAATAATTATTTAAAGAACATTGTTGGTCAAAGGAAGGCTATAGGTAGGAGGATAAAACGTGGCGAAGTTTACCTCCGAGATTATTATAAGGTATTGGCTGGTATGGATAAGGCCGAGATAAAAAAAGCAGAGGAATAATGAGCTGCAGATAGCAAAGGAGGCAAAGTCAAGCCCCAAGTGATATCAAATGTATCAAACTAAAACAAGAAAAAATTGGACCAATACAGTCAGATACCGGCGAGCTAACTGATAACGACGGAGAAATGAGCAATAATCTGAATAAATATTTTTCAACAGTTTTCACCACCGAAAATTTAAACAGGATACCCAAGGCACCGACTCTATACAGAGATGAAGAAAACAAATTAAGCGAGATAGTAGTGACTAGTAACGATGTTAGTAAGCAAATAGCCAAACTAAAGCCTAATAAGTCACCTGGTCCCAATGAGACATTTGCCAGAGTATTAAAGGAATGTAAGGAAGAGCTTGGTATGCCCTTAGCAAAGTTGTTTAACGTGTCCTTAAAAACAGGTGTAGTACCAGAATCCTGGAGGATAGCAAATGTAATACCGATTTTCAAGAAGGGAGATAGATCACTATCCTCTAACTACCGTCCAATCAGTCTAACATCAATTGTAGGCAAATTACTGGAAGCAATCATTTCAAACTATTCAAAATCACCCGGAGAAGCACAAGTTGATCAATGATTCCCAGCATGGCTTCAGAAGTGGGCGTTCATGTCTAACTAATCTATTAACATTCTTTTCACCAGTTTTTGAATCAGTGGACGAGGGGCACAATTATGATGTGGTATATCTCGACTTAAGCAAAGTCTTCGACAGAGTCCCCCACGAAAGACTAATTAGAAAGACAAAAGCACGTGGCATCAAAAGTAATATCCTTAAATGGATTAGGGCGTGGTTACAGGACAAGAAACAGCGAGTGAGCATTAACGGCACTAAATCCCATTGGAGCAACGTCACTAGTGGAGTTCCCCGGCTCAGTATTTGGACCATTATTATTTATTATATACATAAACGACAGATATTGGCATAGACAGCAACATAAGTAAATTTGCTGATGACACTAAAATAGGACGGGTTATTAAATCTGACGAGGACTCCACAAAACTACAGGAAGATCTAAACAAATTTTTTTAATGGTCTGAAAAATGGCAGATGAAATTCAACATGGACAAATGTAAAGTACTCAGTACAGTATAGGAGATGTAAACAGGGAAACCAGTTACAAGATGAACAACGGTGCCATTGAGAAATCCGACTGCGAGAGAGATTTAGGAGTAATGATAAGTAGGAACCTTAAGTCAAGTAAACAATGTGTTGTTGCTCGTAACAAGGCTAATAAAGTACTTGGGTTCATACAAAGGAGTGTTAGTTACAAGACTAGTGAGGTCATCCTAAAACTATATCTTGCGCTTGTGAGACCCCACTTGGATTATGCAGTTCAGTTCTGGTCACCTTATTACAGAATGGATATAGAATCCTTGGAAAGAATTCAGAGGAGAATGACAAGACTAATCCCTGGCAGTGGTAGTAACTCTCGACAAGAGCTGCCATGCACAGGCCAACCGGCCTATTGCAGACTCATTTTCTTATGTTTACCTCGAAGACTTTCCTAAAATAAAAAATATGGCACGCCCCAAAATTTTTAACTACCGAAACAGATAGTTTGAACTGTTAAGCTAGACCTACCGGGGGTCAGGGGTCAGAGGCCCCCGCTAGGATTAAGGTTAGGTTTTGTTAGGTTAGAGGACTCGTTTTCTACTAGATTCCCCCATTATTGGGGGAAAGGGGGGGACTTTCCGGCAAAAATGGTCAGATTTGCTTAAAACACGCCGGTATACACTGGCAAAAGACATATTGGTAAACCTCTAGGGACTGTAAAGACCTAAAGTAAAAATTTACCTTATATGAAAATGTTCATGTACGGCAAACACCGCTAATTTTCACAAGAAATGGTCAAATTAGAGAAAAAAAAAGTATCAAAACCAGAGGACTGCCAATGGACGAATATATATATATATATATATATATATATATATATATATATATATATCCACACACGAGATTTTAATCCTTTAAACATTGATTATTTCACATAACAGTCATGGCCTCACGTGGCATCTGTAGTCAATGTAAGTGTCCTATAACAATGCGACTCATTGTCTTTATACTATTAAGTATAGAATTATACACCTACATTATTACAGGTAGTGGACACCACGAAAACTTAAAGATTTCTACCCAACATACGACCTATGACGAGAATAAATTCTTAAGAGTGGAGATGTCTTACCTGCTTCGACGACGCCTAGTGCTGGAGAGAGAGGAGTGACGCTTCATGAAGCTCTCGTGGCTGTCCACCACAATGCTTAGTCAATGGTTCTTTTACTTATGGATTATTGTGTAATTGTTCTGTATGAATATATTTATATAAAACATTAATAAATAATTTAAGTTCAAATATTTTTGTGATTATATACTGGAATATATTCGAAAGCAAAATCTCATCATGCCTTTTGTTATTATTGCTGATGCCACGCATCTAAAGCATATTTTTAAGATAATGCTTTGCTTTACCTTTGAGATGTATAAACATTTGATTACTTCCTACCACAGTGTCCATTCAATTACAAATGTTTTGTGTATAAATCAAGTAACGCACGTATCCCTTACAAACTTGTCCTAGATTCAATCCTCACTCGGGACAGGTGTTTTATTTATTTTTAATCCACTGTGACACTACCAAACATCACAAGTTTTCGCAGAGTACACCGGTTTCTGCCTGGAATAACGCTGAACAATAAAAGTTCTAACAAAGTAACATTGGTATTGTAGGGGAGAGTATCCACTACAATACTTATACTTTTATCCTCTTCACCACTAATCGGCTCGTTAGCCGCTTGGGCGATCGGTCACAGAGTCCCCACGAGACTACTAGAAAGGTAGAGGCACATGGCATCCAAGGTAATAATATCCTTAAATGGATTAGGGCGTGGCTACAGGACAGGAAACAGCGAGTGAGCATTAACGGCACTAAATCCCATTGGAGCAACGTCACTAGTGGAGTTCCCCAAGGCTCAGTACTTGGACCATTATTGTTTATTATATACATAAACGACATAAATCTCGGCATAGACAGCAACATAAGTAAATTTGCTGATGACACTAAAATAGGACGGGTTATTAAATCTGACGAGGACTCCACAAAACTACAGGAAGATCTAAAAAAAATTTGAATGGTCTGAAAAATGGCAGATGAAATTCAACATGGACAAATGTAAAGTACTCAGTATAGGAGATTGTAGTGGACGTCTCCCCTACAACTGCGTAGCTGCATCCCACCTGCTACGTCTTCCCTAGCAACCAAACTAGCGGCCCAAGGGGGGGGGGGGGCGTCACCAGATGCCACAGTATCCTAGCAACAGAGCCAAAAGACCGGCTACTTCCCGGGTTTTCCGACCATGACTCACAGATGACTCACGGCTGCTGTGTATATAAGCTCTGTCTCTCCATTGAGATTCATTCTGCTCTCGGTTCCTGAACACGCAACACCTCCTCCAAGCAAGCTCCTGGCTGTCCCGTTCTCATTCAACCTGGAGGCCAGCAACAGGCAACATCTTCTCTAACGAAGCTCCTGCACATCTACCTCCTCCAACACGCTACTCACCGAACGTGCCTACTGAGCAGCTCCTCACCACACGGCACCTCCAGCACCAGACTGTCGACCATATAACTTATATTATACAAGAAAACCACCTTAGAGTTTCCATCCATCCTGAGTGCTAGACAACATTATATCACGAAACCCTACAAGATGTAAACAGGGAAACCAGATACCAGATGAACAACGATGCCATAGAGAAATCCGACTGCGAGAGAGATTTAGGAGTAATGATAAGTAGGAACCTTAAGCCAAGTAAGCAATGTGTTGTTGCTCGTAACAAGGCTAATAAAGTACTTGGGTTCATACAAAGGAGTGTTAGTTACAAGACTAGTGAGGTCATCCTAAAACTGTATCTTGCGCTTGTGAGACCACACCTGGATTACGCAGTTCAGTTCTGGTCACCGTATTACAGAATGGATATAGAATCCTTGGAAAGAATTTAGAGGTGAATGACAAGACTAATCCCGGGCATTAGGAACCATGAGTATAGAGACAGGTTAAAGCATCTTAATTTGCACTCCCTTGAGAGACGTAGAGCGAGGGGCGACCTGATAGAGGTGTATAAGTGGAAGTCACGGCTAAACAAAGGGAACATTACAAAGGTACTCAAACTATCCAACCAGGAGCGAACTCATAACAATGGTTTTAAATTAGACAAATTTAGATTTAGGCGTGAAATAGGTAAACACTGGTTTGGAAACAGAGTAGTGGATGAATGGAACAAGTTACCAAATATCATCATTAACTCGAATACGCTGAATAGCTTCAAACATAGGTTGGATATTTATATGTGCAATAGAGGTTGGGTGTAAACGGGACTGCCCAGTATGGGCCCATTAGGCCCGCTGCAGTTTCCTCCATTCTTATGTCCTTATGTCTCTGGTACGCACTGTTGACAAGTACTGGGCATGCACCGGCTCCTGAATGTACCTGAACCTGCTCCAGTGTTGGTCAAGTCTTGTCTTGAAAGAGCTCACACTCGGTCCGTCACAACACTTTCTGGTAGATTGTTCCAAGAGTACAACTCTCACTCCGAAAAAGTTTGCCCTCACAGTTCTGGACTTGCAGCTAATCCAATCTTGAGCTGTGACCCCTTGTGGGGCGAGCTTCCGCCAGCTCCAAGTAAGGACACTCGTCTGAGTAGTGCCTCTTGAGATGCTTATACACCTCAACTAGGTTAGCCCTTGCCCGCCTGTAGTATAAGCTAGGCAAGTTCAGGCGCTCTAATCTCTCAGGGTAACTGAGGTGTCGAAGTGTAGACACCAGTGGCCCTCCTTTGAACATTCTCAACAAACTGACAGTCCCTAGCATATCTCGGGGACCAGATGGGGTGACAGTGCTCCAGATGGGGAAGCAGTTCACTCTTGAAGATCGTTACGAGGGACGGACCGTCTAGATATCTGAATGACCTTCTTATAAGACCCAATAATTTATTTGCCTGATTTATCTTCTTCTCGCAATGGCCCGAGAACTTCAGCTCATTGTCAACATACACACCTAGGTCCTTCTCGCATTCAGTCTCAAATAGTGCAGTTTCTTCATCCCGTTGGGGCATATGATATGCCTCCTTACCGTTGGTACGCCCCAGGTGCATCCTCTTACACTTCGTGACATTGAATCTCAGCAGCCAGTTCTTTGACCATTCTTGGAGCCCACAGAGGTCCTTCTGCAGCTCATCACAGTCCGCTTGGTCTTGATTTCCGAAATAACTTCGCGTCATCGGCAAACATTTGTATGGAGGAGTGTACAACGTCAGGCATGTCATTTATGAAACAGAAACAACAGCGGGCCCAATACACTGCCCTGTGGTACCCCACTTGTGACAGGTACGGATGATGATTTCGTGCTATTAATCACCACACACTGCTTGCGCTAGGACATTTCCCCGAATTCCGTACCCTTCCAATTTGATTTTCAGCCTTTCATGGGGTACACTGTCGAAAGCCTTGGCAAAATCTAGGTAAATATTGTCGATATTACCACTCCGTTCCAGAATATGGGTCCAAATATCCAATACCTTGAGCAATTGTTAAACAGGAGCGCCCCGGCATAAAACCGTGTTGGCAATCCTTTACAAGGTTGTTTCGTAGTAGTTATTTCATCGCGGCATCTCTGATAATACTCTCAAGTACTTTGCATATTATGCTGGTCAGGCTCACCGGTCTATAGTTGTTCGTGGAGTGACGATCGCCCTTCTTGAAGATAGGACTCACATAAGCCACTTTCCATTCACTGGGGACCTTTCGTTCATCCAGGCATTTACAAACAGGCAAGCTCGTTGCTCAATTCTTTTAGCACTCTAGGATGCACCATGTCAGGGCCGGGACTCTTATGGACCTTTAGCTTTGACATTTTATTTCTTATATCCTCTTCTGTGAACACAATGTGGGTCAGTGCTGTGTTGAACAGTCTGTCCTCAAATGCAGGAAGGTTAACCGCATCCTCTCTTGTGAACACCGAGGAAAAGAAGCTGTTCAATGCCTCAGCTTTATCCTGGTCAGAAACTGCGTAACTACCATCTTCAAGCCTCAGGTCCGATATTCCTACTCGCGTTTTTAAATTCGACTTTGCATAGCGGTAAAACGCCTTTGGGTTTGACTTGACCTCGCTTGCAACAAGCCTCTGGAACTCCTTTTCAGCTCTTCTACACTCTACCATTGTTTGGTTTCTGGCTCTTACATACATCCTCCTGTCCTGCTTATCGTTTGATCCAACCCACGTCTTGAATTTCTGGGTTATCTTCTAAACTATCATACCCTCCTCGTTTGTTATGATGAGGTCAAGTGGCTTGGGTGTTTGCTCCCCCCTGTAATGTGTCAGGTCTCTACCATGTTGGAACAGAAAATTATCTCTCAGAGTTTCTACAAAAAGAATAGTAGGGTTATTCAAGTCATTTGGGGTGAGGTCGTTTCTCCAGTCGATGTCGCTACAGTTAAAGTCCCCCATGATAAGGAGGTGGCTAGGGTTGAGCATCGCTGCAATGTCTATTAAGGCTCTTAAGTTCTTTTGATTTAGTGGGCCACGTTTGGGGATCTGTAGATACACCCGACAATAAGTAAGTCCCTTCCCTTTAGTTTAATTTTATACCACTTGAACTCTTCAAAAACATCCTCTCCCTGTACCCTCGCCTGGCTGGCTCTAAGGTCTTGCCTAGCATAGATAACCACACCCCTCTTGCAAGTTTCTTGAGAAAGGCTCGTAAATGAGTCATATCAGCAATACTGAACTCACATTCCTCTGGGTCGATTCTCCTGTTCTTGTACAACAGTTCGACAACTCCCACAATATCTAGTTGGTGTACCTTCAGTATTGTTTTAAACTCCTCTCTCCTATCAAGAAACGTGTCAGTATTAGTGTACATGACATTCAAGCCAGAATTTGTTCTAGGTAACCTCTCTGCTCTTAGTAGTAACCCTGCTCCCCCCCCCAATTCTCAGAAGCTGCAGCATTTGCTAAGTACACTGTATTTTGCAGGGTATGGTTAGAAATCCAATGTTTACACGGTGCTCGCCTCCTTTGGGGCGGTAATAGAATGCCTTTAAGGATAGCCAAGCTTGTTGATTTTATTTATTTTTTTTATTTCAACTAGTATTTCCTTATACTTTTGTAGTGGATTTCTCCCCTACAAACGCTGTTTGTCGCTGCCTAGCCGACCCCACCAATTCCCCAGTGTATGCCTCATGGTC